AGGATGGGTTAGCCTGGTGATGGGTATTAAAGAGGGCACGTTCTGCATGGAGCACTGGGTGTTATGCACAAACAATGAATCATGGAACACTAATCAAAACCTAATGATGTAATGTATGGTGATTAACATAACATAAAAAAAAAAAGAAAGAAAGAAATATAGACCAGAATAAAGCACCATAAAAAGCTAAAAAAAAAAAAAAAAAAAGATGCACCGTCTTCCAAAGAGAGCTCTAATGGAAGCCCAGACTATTTTTAGCGGGTCTTGGTGTGAGGGACAAGCACTGTGTCATTGTGATGAAGCTGTGTCATTCTCAATGAGGCTGAACTCAGCTAGCTTCTTGCCTCTTATGTAAGTGCTGTGCCAGGATGAACAACACTGAGCTTATAATGCTGGTAACTGCAGGGCCAGGAATAGAGGGTGAGTTGTGCCCTGCATTATAAAGGACACAGTAGTAAATCGCTACCAATCACAAGGGACTATGCTTACTCATTAAAGGAATAGCCCTAGAAGGGGCCTGATGGCAAATTAAGTCAAACCAAGCACCCCAAAACACAAGTCCAGAAAACGATCTCTGGTTTAAAGTACCCCATGATCACAGACTGAATTGAAAGCCATCTGAAATTTGTACAACTTGACCAGGTTTTCAAGTTGCTCTCAAAATTCTGTGGTTTGGACGTAAATAATATGTTTTTTCCTTTCTATTACCTAAATAAACAAAACATTGAAAAACCTACTCTCTTTATATTGCCAGTACCACTACTTTAGAAAGGGAGTTATATGAGCAGTTTTCTCCTCTCGAGGTTCAGAAAAACCTGGATTTGAAAGGAGGTATTTTCATATGAGAATCTTAAGGGTGGAGGAGCTTTGAGACTGAGTGGTGACCTCCTTTCACATAGAACATCCGCACTTGTCATCACAGGGTAGAGGGTAGACTCTTCACAGGTGCAGCATGGAGGGAACTTCTAATCAAGCAGGACCCACCATTCAGCAAGCAGGACAGTCCCAAGTCAAAAGAGAAATAGTAGTAAAATATGGCAGAGGATTCTTGCTGAAAGACACTCGGATGTCCTGGGGGCCCGTGTCCATTATACTGCTGACTGTTTCTCTTTTCCTCTTCCGAACAACTCATCCATTGCCTTCTTACATAAATCCATTAAGACCTTTGGGGTCCAGCTGGTCCAACACACTCAAGCACAGAAAGTGAGGTTTGGAAAGGTCATGTGGTTTGCAAAAAGTAGCAGACCCAGACACGGAAACCAGGACTGCAGGCGCCCAGTCTGGCTCTCCTTCTGGTTTATCATGCTGTGCCTCCTAACGTCTGGGAAAACTCATGCAGGAAACGTGTAGCCACCTACAGCTGGGAATATTCACACCTTCACTCGAATGGTTTTATCTACAGGCAGAGGGAGAGGTACTAATCTTGGAAGAGTATGGGTTAAAGACCAAGATGAGGGTGCAGGGTAGTTTAGGGGAAAGAGCAAGGCAGGAAAGTGGGGAAAAAAAGGAAAAAAAGGTAATAGAGAAATACATGAATGATAAAAGTGGGGAAAATGTAAGGGACAAATATGGAGAGGAGAAATTACCTAAGAAAAAGAAAAGGACTTTTTCCTTCTCCTGAGCAGCAAATGCAGGCAACTAAGGACTGAGCAGAAGTCAGAAAGAGGGAAGAAAAAAGAGCAAATAGAACCAGGAAAAGAGAAGAAACCAGGAAAAACATGAGAACACCAAGAGCTACCTGGAGTGAAGAGTGTGTACAGGGGGGTAAGCGTGCTGGACAAAGAGAGGGATCCACAGAACGTGACCCATATGCATGGATGGGGGTGGACAAGTAGGACAGTGAGGATTAGCACAATGGGAAAGAGGTGATGAGAGTGCTCAGTGCAAATGGAGGAAGTCAACGAGTGATCTTGAGTCCTAGATAGATCCATGGAATTACTCCAGAATCAGCCCAACTATGGTTCTAGGGAGTGGTATTACAGGAGACGACAAATTCCATATCTATCAAACAAGACATCTAACCTCTTATCATTCACGTCCCCTGCCTCTGTCATCATTTACATAATTTGTTTTTACAAAATAGATAAACATTCACTCATTCACCTTGTGTACCCTGGAACCCTTCCTCCCTGGGCTAGTTTCTTCAAAAATTTGTCAGTGCTTCCCAAAGGATGATGGGTCTCGTGGGCCCCTGCATCACACACACACTTGGAAAGGCCTTCCCAACTGGCAACAGTGGGATTTTCCTCAGGAAAAGCCAAGCCTCCGCCATGGCCAGGTGGAGTCCCAGAGGAAAATGTCACAGCACTGTGAGAGCAACCAGGGGGAATGTGAAAGCAATTTCCCAGAACTACTCAGTATAGTCTTTCTTGTACATTCTCCTGAGCTGTGAGGGAAATCCTGCCCTTCCTGTTAGGTCCTCCCACGTTAGTGCCCATCCACCTCACACAGGTGTGGTTTGGGGGAAAGCCAGGCCATATGATTAGAGTAACAAAGCAGCACCCAGTCCTCTGCCTGAGTAAGCAAGGTACTCTCCACTGGGGAAGAGGAGAGCAAGGTGGGACATTTTCCTCCGGGGTGATCAGCCTATATCACATGCCTCTTTGAAATTTGTGATTTTAACAGAGCTAGCTGCCAACCCAAGCTAAAGAGTGACTGCTTTCTAGAGCTGCCTCTACGCTAGGAAGAACGGATAGGAATTAGAACCATGGCAGCATTTTTTCCCCTTTAAAACGCACGCCACAAATAAAATCCCCTTTAGCCCTAGCTATCTAAGGCCTTAACTCTTCACACAAACTTGCAAACAATTTCACAACCATTCACTTGCTCAAAATGTCAACCAGCCCACTTTCCAAAATGCAATCACACTTAATAAAAATGAGTTAAAAAAAAATCCCTCATGCCTTGCATGCACCTGGAATGAGTCGCTACTGCAAGGTTGGGTTAATGCCACTTTCTGGGAGTCCTCTGAGAGGACAGTCTCCATGAAAGAGTTTTTTTTGCCCTTACAAGCCGAGTTAAGGCCAACTGTTGGCAGGAAGGCGTGGCAGTTGCCTTCTGAGTACTTACACAGGATCCTGAGCCAGGTGGCTGGGCCCATGTTAGTTCTCCCTCACCTCATGTACTCCCCATCACTCCTATAATCCATGAACGATTCTGATCCCGACACCTCCTCAAAATCCTCCAGCACCAGACTGGTGGAGTCCTCACCCAGGACGCCGCTGTCAGGCCTGGACATCCTGGCCCGGGAAGGAGGTGCAGGGGGGCCGGCAGAAGCCGGAAGAGGAGAGCGAGGGGGTGTTTGCTGGGCGGATGAGGCCATGGCTGGTTCACGGGCTTCCTCATCATCCTTCTCCGACTCTGGCCCTGTATCGGAGGCCGCAGGCCCCAGGACGTGGTAGAGGCTGGGGAGGCGGATGTCAAAGCGCAGCCCAAACTTGGCAAAGAGCTTGTCATTGAGAGCGTAGAGCTTCTCTGAGATGTCATAGCCCAGCAGGGCCGAGAAGAGGTGGGAAATGTATCGCTCTTTGGTCAAAAGAAGGTGGAGACTTTTCCGGGGCCAGGAAATGTAGCTACACGGGGTCTCGGCAGTCAGAGTGACCTGAGAGGGGTCCAGAGAAGAGAGTGAAGGTTTAAATTAGACTAAACGCCCATGCTTAGCACAGAGAAATATACAGTTACTCAACAAACGGCTGCACTTTTGTTGAAGAAATTGTGGGAGCACCCACCCTGGCCTCGCCTGGAGGAGGTCCAGTGAATGACTTTTACTTGTGTCCTCTGATATGGAGGGTGTCCTTGTCAGCAGCCCTGGGTCCAGCCATCCACTCACTGGGCCTTCACCCCCTTGGAGCCTCAGCTTCCACGCCCAGTCTCCTCAGCTCTCACATTCTGTGGTCCCGTGGCTGATACCGTTAACAGCTAAGGGAGGTTCTGAGTCTGTTATGATCTCGTGAGAGAGTCGGGGCCTCCTACTGCCCTGAAGATAGGCTGGCGTGCTGATGACAGTTTGTTTTGAGAATAAAGAAGGAGAATATATTGCAGGAGGGATTAAGGACGAGTTGGAAAGCAATTCAGTTAGAGAAGAGCTTCTGATTAGGCATGCCAAGCTGCATCAAGTGGCAGAATGTTGGCCTGGAATTCAGGCCCAGGGAGCTGCTCTTGACGTGGCCACGACAAGTAACCAAAGAGATCCGATGGCTAAAGTCAGAAGAAGGGCAGGAAGGAAGAGGAGCTCTTAAGAGCACAAAGTCGAGGGCACCCCACTCTCCATTTATTTAGCCACGTAGGGATTTCTGAGCACTCACTGCGGGCCCATGACGCAAAGCTAAATTGCACTTGCAGGGTAGGAAATGTGTGCCTGGCACGTAGCAGGTGCTTGATAAATCCTTATTAAACCAATGAGGAGTGGTAAAGCTAGGCTTAAACTAGAATAGCTTAACTAGGATAGTAAAGGAATAGGGTGTAGAATCACACAATTTTTTATAATCAGATTGGCCACAATACTTTATTTATTTAAAAAAATTTTTAAAGATTTTATTTATTTATTTGAGAGAGAGAGCATGGGGGGGCAGGGGCAGAAGGAGAGGGAGAAGCAGGCTCCCCACTGAGCAGGGAGCCCGACACTGGGCTCAAACCCAGGACCCCAGAAGCATGACCTGAGGTGAAGGAGATGCTTAACTCCCTGAGCCTCCCAGGTGCCGCATGGCCCCAATACTTTAGAAATGAGAAGGCCAGCAGGGCTCATGATGAAGATTTGTGAATGAGGACAGCAGAGATGATAATGACGATGACAGCAGCTAACATTTATTAGGAGGTGACCGTGCGCCAGGCATTGTGTTCAATTCTTCATGTGGATTTTCTAAGGGTAGGGTTGACTTCCAACCATCCTTTATTAGGGATCTCCTATAATCCTTTTAATTCCTGCATTGTGTCCCAGAGCTCCCACTACCCTCCTCTCCTCTCCCCTTCTGCAGTACCCTGTGTCCACTTGCTTCACTCACTTCCTCCCCTCTGCTTCTCGCCCCCTAATCCCCAGCACTGAAGTCAGGCCCCGAAATTACCTCATCAAGCCTGGGAGCTGGCTTCAAGGTCCAGCTTTACCCCTTTACCAGCTGTGTGGCATCCGACAAATTACTTAGTGCCTCCGAGCATGCTGCCTCAGGAGAGAAAATGCTGAAAGTAGTACCCACAATCTGCCCCTTCCTAGCAGTTGAGCAAGGAGCTGTCGCTATTTGCCGGCGCCCATGCTGGAGGTGCGCTAACAGTTCCCAAACAAGAAATCAGAGTCCGGACCCTGAAGGGGGTGAGTGTTAGAGTCACTCTGGACGTGACCAGCGTCCTTGACGTCAAACACAAAGACCATGGGCATGCTTATGAACATGATCTTACTTCCTTCCATCTTAAAATAAATCAAAATCCTCTTTCTCCAGCTCGCTTCTTTGGCTAACTACCACCTCATTAGTTTACTCCCCTTCTCAGCAACATTCCAGAAAAAGAGTAGCCTGTATTTGCTGTCTCCAGCTCCTCTCCTCTCACTGTCTCTGAAACCAGCAAGGCTTTGTCCCTTGCAGTCCACACCCACTGCTCCTGGTAAGGTCACCAGTGACCTCTACGATGGCGTGGGGCATCAGTTTTCCTGGTCAACCCTGCTGAAGCTCCCTCCTCTTTGATGCGCTTTCTCTGCGTGGCTCACAGGGTGTCTGGCTCTCTTGAAACAATCTCCTGGCAGATCCTCTGAGACTTCCTTTTGATCTCTAGCTCCTACACACTAGAGTATCCTAGAGTTGGTCCATTCTTAAACACTTTCTCTCTCTAAACACACTCACTCAGTGATCTCATCCAATCCAATGGCTTTAAATATCATCTGTATGCCAAAACTCCCAAATCTGTATCTCAGGCTCAGACTTCATTCCTTAATTCTAGACTCAAATATTCAACTGCTAGTGCAGCATCTCCATTGAAATGTCCATAGATGACACAAATCTATTATATCCAAAAGTGAACTTCCTCTCTTCCCACCTAACTGATTCTGCTTGTAGGCTCCCTTGTTCCAGTTGATAGGAGCTCTTTCCAGTTGCTCAGACCAAAAGCCTTAGAGTCTTCCTTGATCCTCTTTCTCTCACACACACTACACCGAATGCATTAGGAAATCCTTTTGGCTCTCTTTAGAAGATTTATGCACCGACCCTACATGATGTGGTTCCTCATCCCGTCTTTGACTTCCTCTCCTGCTATTCTCTCCCTGTCCTCTCTCTGTTCCAGGCCTCCTTTCTGCACCTCAAACATGCTAGTCCTTCCCACCACAGGGCCTTTGCACTGGCTCTTCCCTCTGTCTAATATGCTCTGCCCTCAGCTTCTCAGAGCTCACACTGTCACCTCCCTCAGGTCTTTGCTCAAATGTCACCTGCTCAACAAAAGACTTCTATGACCACCCAATTTAAAATGGCAACTAGACCTCTCTTATACCACTCTACTTTTTTTTTTTTTACTAGCCCTCATTATCTTTTAACATATTACATAATTATTCATTATGTCTATGGCTTATTTTTTATCTCCCTTACTAGAATGCAAATTGCACGAAGGCAGGGAACTTCTTCTGTACTGTTCACTGATACATCCCAAGCACCTTTAACAGTGCCTGGTATATAATAAATGCTCAGTAAACATTACTGCAGTGAATGAATGAGTCAGGTAAAGACCACAAATCTTACATGCTGCAAAACAACCGAATGTCACTTTCTCAGGTTCTGTATAAAGTCCTTCCTCAAAGGTCTTCAGGAAGGCTGCTTATTGCTTGGTTCCATATATTATGCATATGTCTGTAATAAAGTTTTGACAACCTTTTTCTCTAATTCTCATTTCAGAGGCTGGTTAAATGGATTAAATGAAATAACATATGGAAAGAGGGCTCGGGTCCAGTAAGACACATGTAAACTGGGGAAATAATGATGATTTCTGTGTGACACCTTCTATGCTATGCTCTTGGTGACCAACAAGAGGGCACAGTGCTGAATAGTCAGTAAGTTCTTATTTAATTGGATTGCTGAGAGGTGTGATGGAACATTGATTCATTTGTGGTAAACACAATGAGAATTATGCTTCAGTCACTGTGGATTGCCCTATTAGTCTGCAAAGACTGTAATTGCAAAAGGCAAGGACAGGATGAACTATAACTCAGGACAATGCCTGACATTTGCAAAGAGGAAATGGGACTTTACACAGCCAATAACGAACGTGTGGATCTCATTGCTCCCAAAGGAGGTGCGCACTAAAAATAAAAATGGGAGGAATATGACGGTAGCTACATTCCAGACTGAGAGGCCATCCGGGGTTATAGCCTCTCCTTTCAAGCAGAGCTTAGGGGAGGACACCCGGCTTATCCCCCACCTGTTCCTCGGTGTCAGTGTCAGAAACAGAGGCTGGTCTGGCTGGCTCAGGACCTGACTCGGCCCTCCTGGAGGTTCTTAGGGGCCTGAAGGAGTTCTCATAGAAGGCTGTTGGACTGGTTGGAGAGGGTGGGGGTGTGTGTGGTGGGAAAGGAACTTGATCAGTGGAGGCCTAGGGCTGGTGGCCCAGCAGTGGGATCGGGATTACCCCTCAGGGTCTGTCCTCATAGAGCCAGGAGTCAGGCTGGGGCAGAAATAGGCCCAGCCAGGTGGTCCTGCCTGGCATGTGTCTATTCTGGGGTTAGTTCCTATGCTGGCTTGAGGGACTCCCCAATAGAAGTGGTAAAAGTCACATAGAACCCAGTACTAGCGAACTATCTGAACAGGGGAGTCCCTATGATAGGGTGTGTGTGTGTGTGTGTGTGTGTGTACTCGAGTGGAGTACACACACACACACACACACACACACACACCCTATCATAGGGACTCCCCTGTCCAGATAGTTTAAAAAAGAAGAGTAATAGTTGAGCCAGGCAACTTCACTTTGTCACTTTCTAGATGAAGACCTTGGGCAAATTGCTTGATTTTTTGGAACCTCAATGTCCTTACCTGTTAAATGGGATAATAATAATATCCACCCCAGAGGGTTGTTGTGAGAATCAATAAGGCAATATAATATTTAGTGCCTGACGCATAGTAGCCATTCAGTAAGGGAGAGCTACAAAGCAAGGAACCAAGTTTTGAAGGAGTGGCAGAGAAGAGAGCAGGGCCAAGCAGCCAGGCCCCCACCGTGGAGCATGGCAGTGACTGCCTCATAGAGTTCCCTGAGACACCAGCTGCCCACTGCCAATCCAGGTCAGCAAACCTTTACTGAACACCTACTGTGTTCAGGGTACTGTCCTTTGGAGTCTGGGAATAGAGGGAAGAGGAAGCCCAGATTTCTACCTCAAAGAGTCAGGAAAGGAAACCAAATCGTTAGAGCAGAGAGCAATCTGCGCCCCGGTCAGCATAAGTAAAAGGAATAGAAAGTCACACAGACAGAAACCTGAAGCTGTGGGGATTAGAAGCCGATGAGGTCAGTCTGGGCAGGCTTCAGAGGAAGTAAGCTGCCATGGCCTCGTTTGGGAGGGCGGAAATGTATTTCAGAGAGAAGGTAGGGTAGGGGCCAAGCATGGCCACTGCAAAACAGTGGGATGTGTTTAGAGAGTGTGGGTTTTTATGTTGTGGTCAGGGGGTCTTCCCGAGTTTTTGGCCTCGGAGTGACATGGCCTCTCAGGGGTTAGCACCTCCCTGCCTCCATCCCCTGCCGGCAGCCCAGGCCCTCCTTCCACAGAAGGAGAGCGCTCCCACCCCTAGCATCACATTGGCAGTGGTTCAGAGAAGAGATGTGGGTGGGGAAAGCTGGAGGGGGGCATATTCCTGGGTCACAGTGGGACAGGGTGGGCCAGAGCTGCCACAGGCTCTGGATTACCTGGAACACTCCCTCCTCCGAAGGCTGCAGCGATTCCCACTCAGGAGAGTCCATGAACTGGTAAGGGAAGATGTAGTGCAGAAACTGCCCATCCTGGCTCACACGAACCCTGGCAAAGGGAGAGAAGAGACTGTGTGGGAAAAGGAAAGTGGCCACCCAAACCCTCTTCAGTTGAAATTACGTATTTAGAAATGGAAAATGGTTAGGATCCAATATGGGCTTTTTCCTCTTTCCCCTGGAAAACTCAGAGTTTCAGCTTCAACCTCTCTCTAACACTGAGTTATACCAGGAAAGGAGGTGTCTCTAGCAAACAAAGGGGGGGCAGATAAAGAGATCTCTGAGGTACACTCTGTCCATCAGGAAGGAGCTATTGTTCTATTTTTTTTTTCCCCTGGAGCTTTACTGGCTAAATACACATGTATGGAATACCTCCTGTGTTCCTGGAGGTCTGGGAAAGCAGAGATGGGTATGATCTGATCCTTGCCTTTAAGGATTTCACAATTTAGTGGAAATCCCAGACGTGTAAATCAGTGTGTGCCCTTGTGGAACCGGAGACTAGAGGAGGGAGAGAGATTAGTTCTCTTCAAATGGCAGACTTCTCAGAGATGACATTTGAGCTGACTTTTGAAAAATGAATAGGATGCTGAGAAGCCACTGAGGATGGGGATAGATGATGGTGTGGTAGTCTGTCTTCCCCTATCTGCTCTTTCCTTTCCTCCACAGTACTAGAGTTTTAGCTGGGATTGTGGCTGATCAGCTAGAGCGCATTTCCCTACCTCCCTTGCAGCTAGGTATAGCCACGTGATTAAGTTCTGGCCAAATGGGATATTAGCGCTCCAAATCTTGCTCCTAATGAATGGCTGCATATATGCATGCATACAAACTACCACGACCATCACCAATTAATAAGCTATTGCCTTTTGTCTGACAACTTAAGATGGAAGACAGAAGGGGATGTAGCTCTCACACCAAGCCAAGGATGTGGTGTCAGCCCATAGTCTCCAATGGCAGAAACACAGGTGCTCCTACAAGACCAGGTGATATATAGAGATAGCCGGGCAAAACTTCCCTGAGTAATAAAAGATACAAGAGAAAATGAAGTGCCATGCTCTCCTACCTCAGGGTCTCCACATAGTCTGTCCCCTCTAGCTGGACCTCTTCCCAATCTCCACCATCTCCTCAGATCTCAGCTTAAACATTCCTTCTTCCAAGAAGTTTTGTTGACCTCCCCAGAAAAGTTAGCTCCACCAGGTACATGCTCTGACTGCACTTTGCATTTTTCCTTGGAAACATCATGTCTATGATTCGCCACTATGTCAGGCATTATTGATTTTCTTGATAGACAGTAAGAACAGTATTTTTCATATTTTAACACTGGATCCTTAGTCCCTAGTGCTTTTAATAAATATTTTTGAAGGGGAAAAGTAAGAAAAGAAGGTAGGAATGGAGGGAGAAAGGAGAGAAGAAAGGAACAGATTGAATTGATTGTGTGAACTCACTTGTGTCAGCATAAAACGGGACTAACATCTCAAGGAAGAGCTTCTCGAATACAGGAAGAGAGATAGCAGGAGAGAACAAAGCTGCTGCTGGATACACCAGACCCTCTTACCAGATCCTCAGGCAAGGGATCTGACCACTTGAGCAAACTACGAGGAGTGTCATCATTTAAAGTATAACATCTAATGAGCCCACATGGCTCCCTGAAGCCATTTAAATTGGTATATTTTGACCTTTATCATTTAAGTCTCTTCTTCCTTCTTGATCCCCTGGATGACAGGTATTGCCTCCCACATGAAGAGCTTAGACAGTTAGTTCTAGGAGGCTGTGCATGAGAGAATTCTGTAGGAGAGAAACTCACCAACAGTAAGCCCAGCTTAACAATGTGACAAAGCTTGGGGAAGTCACTTGGCCTTTCTGAGTCTTAAAAGGGACTGGTTGCATATATTAAAACAGAACAGAAAGGGCATCTGAGGTTTCAGCAAAGGGCTCCAGATGAGAGCCTGCACGTGATATGGGGGAGGTCCGCCCAAGAAGTCCCTACTTCCTGGCACAGCGTTCTTGTACACCTTTGAGGTGTTGGGTACCTCAACTGCCACCAGCCCAAGGTAAAATGATTCTCCTTTAAAACTGGAGCCTGGTCGGGCGCCTGGGTGGCTCAGTTGGTTAAGTGATTGCCTTCGGCTCAGGTCATGATCCTGGAGTCCCTGGATCGAGTCCCGCATCGGGCTCCCTGCTCAGCAGGGAGCCTGCTTCTCCCTCTGACCCTCCCCCCTCTCATGTGCTCTCTCTCATTCTCTCTCTCTCAAATAAATAAATAAAATCTTTAAAAAAATAAAATAAAATAAAATAAAACTGGAGCCTGGTCACAGACAGGAAGCCTCTTCTCCCAGCTCCAACTTAGCAAAATTGAGACAGGATGACATGGAAAGATAATAAATAAAATTCTTACTCCAAACCTTGAAAAGCAAGAAAAAAACCTGTCTAATTTCTGACTCAGGTTTTTGATGCTAAGTATACTAGGAAAAGCCACACTGAAGGGGCAAGCCCACCTCTCCCCGTCACAGGGAAGGGGTCTTCTACAAATTCATGGTAAATTCATCATATTAAAAATAGATTAAAAATATCATATAATAATCATACACCATACAAGTGCTGCGGGCTTTCTCCCACCTGTCTCAGCTCCCTCCTCTGAACAGAAGAGCTATGGGCAGCAAATAACATCCTGGATCTCCTGAAGGAGAACATTTCTTAAATTGTCTTTATTTTAAAGATTTTTATTTATTTATTTGTCAGAGAGAGAGAGCACAAGCAGGGGGAGCGGCAGGCAGAGCAAGAGGGAGAAGCAGGCTCCCCGCTGAGCAGGGAGCCCGATGCGGGGACTCCATCCTTGGACCCTGGAATCATGACCTGAACCTTAATCGACTGAGCCACCTGGGCATCCCAGATTGTCTTTATTTGAAGCATGGAACTGTAGGCGGCAAACATTTTGGCAACAGTCATAATGTACTTCTGTTTACACATGTATTTCTTTACAAATCATTCCATTTGTTTACACTTCAATTTATTCATAAATGAAATGAAATGTCTCCCCACAAAAATCTCATAGATCATTCAACCCAGGACTCTGAGTCCAAACAAAATCTCACGTATACCTAACGCTTTTGATTCTACACAGTAGTACAGAAATGCGTGTTATTACTACCAGTAGTCATTGTGGTACCATCATCATTCTGAAACTCTTTTTCCCCTTTTTTTCCCCACCTTGGAATCAAGCCTGCTGATAAGATTACGATCTTACCTTTTCTATCAACTTCTCCTGGTCTCAAAAAGCAGGGAAGGAAACTGAGAAAATAGCTTTTGAAGTACTTTGCTTGCTTTCCATGGAGGCAGCCCAAGTGTACCAGGTTACATAGTTTACTGTTTGAGGCTCAGCCCCACATAGAAGTCCCACTAGGGCAATATTTCAAAGATTCCACAACCGCCTCCCAAATGTACAGCATGGAGCCCCGTGGTATTTGTTCAGAAGATGTCAGCCAATGGCCAACACTCATGTATAGGCTGATTGGGCATACACTAATCCTGACTAAAACCACTTCTGCTAATTTCTGCTGTCACCCGTCCTAAGAGGAATCAGCCAGGTATCTCTACCAAATCCTCAATGAGACATGTATGGGCATCACTACTCTTCCTTCACTGTGTGGTCTTCTTGGTACTTGATCACTGGTTTGTAAGAATCTCAATAGAACAAATAGGAATGGAAAAGTGGACAAGGAATATTCCCTCTCCCCACCTCGTTGTATACCAAATGGCTTTCCCACAGAGTCTATATAGGATATCCTCAACATAATTGGGGCTCTTTCCTTGATGCCCTGGCAAGATATAGGCACTATTCCCTGCACATAGTCAGCACTTAGGAAATACTGAATACATATGGAAGGAACAAATCAACCTTATTGAAATGTTCACTTTTTCAAAGCTTACAGAGATATTGTGGCAGCTTAAGCATGACCTGCCGATGTGTATAATGCGTGTGTGTGTATGTGTGTGTGTGCATGTGTGTGGTCATTTTAGACCCAGGCTCAAGAAACACTCACCCCACACCTCCTAGCACCAAGCGCACACACAGTCCTTCCTGCCAACCGAGAAGCTATCTCATGATCTTGTTTCCTCTTGGAAAATGCTAAGAAAGAGGAACCAAACCCATGCTTAGAAAAAAAATCTGTTTTTGTTTGTTTGACTTGCCACATCCTTCCCTCAATGGAAGGGGCCTCAGAATGGAAAGGGACACACTAGGAAACGAGAAGCATGGGCAGAGGGAGGAAATGCTGAGCCGTGACGGAGTAGCTTACCGGCCAGAGAGTAGCAGGGACAGGCGGTCGATGGGTGTCTCGCCCTCCACAGCATAAGTCTGCTCAGTGGCCAGAGTCAAGACCTGCTCCTCACAGCAGTGAACAATCTCCTTGTACACCTGCAGAGGCACCTGCAGGGGTAGACACAGTGTCTTGTAGAGGACTTCGAACTCCTCAGGGAGGGTGTTCCTGCGCAGGCGGTAGATCAGGTAAGCCAGCTGGAGCAGGCAGGCCATTGCCAGCAGGAAGCTCCAGAGGATAATGTCCAGGCCGCAAGCATCAAACCAGCCCCACATCACACAGCACACGTAGCCCGTGCCCAGGAAGCCAAAGAGGTAGAAGCATCCATACACCCCGCTGCCCCCCATGAAGCCCAGGAGCAACAAGCAGTTGGCCAGATGGTAGACGGCCCCTTCCAGATCCCGCTTCCAGCCAGCGCACACGGGGCCCTGCCAGAGAAGCTGGCTCACGGCCTGGCTGTTAGCACTCATCTTCGGGGTGTCTCAAAGCCTTGCCGGGGCTCTAAGACTGTCCCCACATAGGAAATTCAAAAACTGGATTAGTCTGTCCTCCCAGGAGGTCTCCTCACGTCCGGCTTCTCGCCACCAACTCCACCTTTCCTGAGAGGAATGCCTCCAGGAGCTTTGGGAATAAATGGCAGAGCATAGCACACTTCATGGAGGATTTTTAAACTTGTTTTCCCCTCTCTGTTTCTTTCAGCAAGGCTCTGGCCCTCTCCGCAGAGCCCTGGCGAGCTTCCTTGGCTCCAGGTTTCTTAGGACAGTCTTCACATTTGGCTCTCAGCAGCAAACCTAAATTGTCCCGAGGCAAAGCTAGGACTCTGGGGCTGAAAACTTTAGCTATGAGGGATAAAGTGGCCACATCCTGCTCTCAGTTGTCCCCACCAGAATGAGGAGAGCCCAGCACGGGATGCACACTTGTGTTCCATTTGGAATGCGTCTCTCTTGGCACCGGAAGAAAGGGTGACCCCAGATGCATACCATGTTTGGAATTGGAATCCAAGAGGTACTGGCAGTGAGAAAAAACAGACCAGGCACACAGGCAGGCTGGCAGGGCACTTAACATATCTCCCCAGAGGACAAGACCTCGGGAGCCAGGGAGGCAGGCGGGGAGAACAAAGGAAAAGTGAGCGCAGAATTTACCACAGTGCCTCAGGCAGGATACTGTTCAGAGTGCCTGTGGGGAGGGCTAGGGGCTCTCCTGGGGTAGGAGGACATATCAAAGTAGGAAAGTAGGGGACTATTATAAGAAAAAATCCTAACAGTGAGAACTGGAAAACCCCTCAGAGCCTTTATTAGGTCACATTATAAACATCACTAGGCATTTATTTGACATACATTAAACAAAAATGACTATGCAAAGCAGCTCTTTGAATTCTAAGCTGAATTTCTCCTGCTTATGTCTGGATCTAATAATAGTTAATACAATGGTAATACATTACTCAGACCATCACTCTACCCATTATTTGCAAAATATAATAACTGCCACCTATTAAATACCTACCAAGGGCCAGACCATGATTAGGTATTTTACACACATATTATTTAGTCATCACACAACCCTTCCAAATAAGTATTGTCTTTCTTCTAGATCTGAAGGAAACTGAGGCTCACAGAGGTAACAAGTTCCCATAGGCAGTTAAGTGGTCCAGCCAGGATTTGATCTCAAGTCGGACTCACTGCTGTGTGCCAAGTAGTTTGCACAGTAAGTGGAAACAGACTAGATCCATGACTCCCAACCCCACACGCTGCCCCCTCCCGGAAGTCTGATGATGTCTAAGGAACTTCTGGATGAACCTGGCATCTATTTTGGGTCATCAGAAAATAAATCTGGAATATGCAAACATTAAGACATGTCCCTCCGGCTTCCAAATGACTCCTTGATTTTTTCCCTTGCTGCTAGTTAATATTTATGATCAGTGTTCCTATTGCCCCTGAGATGGGGGGACAGGTACTCAGTAAACCATCTAGAACTATTTGAATACTCAATCCATAGGGACTTTTATTATACTGCTGATAACCTAACTAAAATTAGTGAGAAATCAGAAATTGGCAAATATGCTGAGGAGTAGAAGTTTCAATTCAACAAATATTTACTGCTGCTTACTATGAGCCAAGCACTTAGAGAATCAGATTCCTAAGAGCTTTCACTCTATCAAGGGAAAGATACTTCAAAAAACAATGGCAATTCAGTGTGTGAAGCACAGTAACTGAGTTAAGCTTAAGGAGAAGTAGCTGCCTGGAAGGAAGAGTGGTGTACAGGAGGGAAGACGTAAGAGCTAACACTGGATTTGAGGTGTAGGCATTGAATGAACCAGGTAGGTAGAGGGAGAAGAGCATTTCTACTGGTGAGAACGGCAGAAGCATAACCACAGAGATGTGAAAATGCAAGGCATGTTGAAGGAAGCCAGTTTTTTCTTTTTTTCTTTTTTTCAGATTTTATTTATTTATTTAAGGGGGAGAGGGAGAGAGCAAGCAAGCGAGCATGGGGGCGGTGCAGAGGGAGAGGGAGAAGAAGACTCCCCGCTGAGCGGGGAGCCTGATGCAACGCAATGCGATGCGATGCAGGGCTCAATCCCAGGACCCTGAGATCATGACCCGAGCCCAAAGCCGATGCTTAACTGACTGAGCCACCCAGGTGCCCTCTTTTTTTAAAAATTAAAATCAACTGACCAACAGATGTGTATTTTATTCCCTTCTTTCTAAAGTTGAGGGGGTGAAAATCGGTGGTAAAGGAAAAGAGCTGGAGCGCCTAGAGAAGGAAAGGCCCTGCCCCCAGTCTTCCTCACAGCAATGATTGGGATGTCATTTGAGCAGTAGAGTTTGGGGATTTCCATATGTTGCTTTTATGTCAGCTGCCTGCCTCCCAACCAACCCACTGACTTGAGCAAGCAGCAGCTGTTCATCCCTCCACCTTAGTCATGCCTCCAGAGCTGCCAGCGTGGCTATTCCTGCTAGCTGTGAGCCAGGAAATCAGAAGCAGGAAAGGAGAAGCAACCAAGATAGAATTTCAAAGCAGGTCCTCTTTCTCAGCAAGCCTGACGAATGGGCCAGCCCTGACCCGTTAAAGAGACAGGCAGACCCACTGACTGTTATTCTCAGCCTCCCTTCTTTGTCAATCCACATACATGCTCATCTGAGGATGCTAACATTTATCAAGCAGCTACTGTTTCCTCATGTCATCCCATGGTACCTTTTTTTCTTTTTAATGGAAGAAACAAACTCAGAGAGGTTAAGAAAGGTCACAGAGCTAGTATGTGAACTAAAGCGTAAGTCATTTAAATTGTATGTTCTCTGTGTTGTCCCACCTTGTTAGGTACCCTTGGGAGTTTATATGTATCCATATACAGGCTCCTTTATTGCTCCAGGGGATTTGACTCTGCTGCTGGGGGCGGGGGATGGCATCACCAGTGCATAAAACCCCCCATGCTACCTGCAATGACAATGACACTGATGCCTGAAGGATAGAGCCTGTGATGGGAATATAACAATGCCAAGTTGTATCTTGTTTTTATTTATTTTATTTTTTAAAGATTTTATTTATTTATTTATTTATTTGAGAGAGAAAGAGAGACAGAGAGGGAGAGAAATAGCATGAGAGGGGAGCGGGTAAGAGGGAGAAGCAGACTCCCTGCCGAGCAGGGAGCCCGATGTGGGACTCGATCCCAGGACTCTGGGATCATGACCTGAGCTGGAGGCAGTCGCTTAGCCAACTGAGCCACCCAGGCACCCTGTATCTTGTTTTTAAAACCACATTTGATAGAACAGGAAAAAAAATTTGTGTAAAAATGGTATGTTCTTTTTTAAAAATCAATCAATTAATTAATTTTTTAAGTAATCTCTATACCCAACATGACCCTGAAATCAAGAGTTGCATGCTCTATCGACTGAGCCAGCCAGGTGCCCCAGAGTGGTATGTTCTTATAAGGAGATCCACAAACATGCAGGTAGAAGCACAGTAGAAAATACTGGGGGAGAATAAAAGGAAACAAAGAGAAGTCACATCGTCACATCATTTGTTGAGTTGATTCAATTCAATAAGCATTTATTTAAGCAAAGTATGTGCGCCAAGCACAGGGGATATAAAGATGAGCAAGACAATTGTCGCTTTCAAGGAGCTGTTGGTCTAATGCGGGAGACTGACCCAGAAATAATTGCAATCCAATAAAATAAATATATTTGGGGGTCAAAGGAGGCACTGATCCGGGAGAAAGAATTCAGAAAAAACATCACAGGGAAGGTGACATTTAAGCTGGCCTAAAAAGATGATGAGGTGTTCCCCAACTAGGAGGAGGGCATTCCAGGGAAGGAGAACAGAATGTGAAGTCAAGCCCAGAAGTAAAACAAAAATACACGACAGAGTACAGCCTGTTGTGGGTGAATGAAAAGGAGCAGTAGGGGGGCACCTGGGTGGCTCAGTCGTTAAGCGTCTGCCTTTGGCTCAGGTTATGATCCCAGGGTCCTGGAATCGAGCCCTGCGTCGGGCTCCCTCCTTGGCGGGAAGCCTGCTTCTCCCTCTCCCACTCCCCCTGCCTGTGTTCCCTCTCTCGCTGTCTCTCTCTCTGTCAAATAAATAAAAATAAAAAAATTTAAAAAAAGAAAAGAAAAGGAGCAGTAGGACTTGAGGCAGGAGAGCCAAGCCGGGCCAGGTTATGAAGTCAGCAGGCTGACCTGACTCTCCGAGTAGGGCTGTGAAAGACAACTGGTCTGTGAGCTGGTACTGGTCCATGATGAGATCAGGACAGAAACTGAGAGAACTGAGACATTTTTTTATAGCAATTTGACAGAGGGAATTCTGGCCTTTTAATGCAATATAAACTTTGGGCTTGTAGAGTGTATGTGTTTTTTAAACTGAATTTTTCCCATCTTCCTAGTAGTGGTTGTTAATTGGAAAAAATTAAACCACGTATAGTTTGAAAAGCACTGAGCTTGAAATTAATCCTTTCCTAATATCTATTAAAATAGAACAGAGGCATGATCTAGGCTTTGGACACATACTGCGAAGTTGACCGTAGGCAGACACTACTGTTTGTCTGTCCTTCAGCCATTCTCCATTTTTCCCTAGTTTACGGAACTGTGATTTTGCTTGGGCAGTATGTTAAGGAAGGTGGGCTTCTCCCTCAGTTGCCAGAGCCTGAAATAAGACTGGTCAAAGCCAGACGTGATATCCTATTCCCCTCTCTGGCAACTGCCTTACAAGTGGGCATGTGACTAATGGGATATAAGAGGAAGTGTGTGTGGGAGCTTCTGGGAAAAAGACTTCCTGACAGACAGTGAGAAGGCCTGCTACCTTCTATCCTGGCTTGATGGAATGCTTGAAGCTACCATGAGATATCATGTACCTAAGGATGAGAAGGATAAAGAGCTGAAAAATAGAACAAGTCACACTTCTCCCAAGTATTACTGAACCACAGTCTCAGATCTGGAACTTTCAACTTCCAGACTTCATGACAGGAGGTAAACTACATTTATTGCTTAAGCACTGTAGTTAGGTGGTCCGGTACTTGACGGTGAATGCTTCCAGATTCAGATCTCCCGTAGGATCTCCAGAAGGACCACTCTTCAGGAAACAGTTCTCTGAACATCTGCTGATTGTTTTATTCTGTGAAAACTTAACATCAGACAACTTCTTGTGTTCTACTAATACATTTCTCTCAAAAGTTTGAGTAAACTATGAGGGGAAATGCTCCTTTAAACTCAATTTGACCATTCAGGATGACTTGGTTGTTAGTGCACAAGGTAGTTTAGTGGAGAATTGGTTGCCTACTCAAAGTCCATCTACCCCTTCCTCCTTGTTAGGGAATTCCAGTTTTGTGCTGATAACTATAATTACACACGGATCCAAGGGCAGTGGTGGGGTGGGGGGTCCTGTTTAAGCCAATCAG